TTATCTATATCGTGTCTCTTTCTATTAGCAGAGCGTGTTTCTAGCCTATTTGTCCTTTGGATTTCACCTACTGCCTTCTTTATTCTAATGGCCTCCTGATGGCATGTTTCTCGGGAAACAATAATAGAAATAAGCACATGCAGTTGATTGGAGATACTCCAGTAAGATGAAGCTTATTTTGATATCTTTTGGACTTTAGTTTTTATTTCTAATTTTATGGGGACAGATATAGATTGCATTATTGGACATTTTAGGTATGCAATATACATGAAGCCAATTGTTTTTTCTCCATATTGTTAGATTTCTCAGTTCTTCAAGAATCTGATAAAGTGGACTTTATTAATTCAGGCATGCACGTTTATGAAGTGTGGGATTATGTTTTTATCTTTGCTGCCTCAAGAGCAGTTGGATAGAGATGCAAATTCATTACCAGTCATACGTAGAAATTTGAGTGCCGGGATGAAACAAAAAGTAAGTCGCTTTACATAAAGATCTATAAATTGCATTGTTATTATTGGAAAATTCAATTATGAGGACCCTATGTAAATCCAGAATTTGATGCCTTTGTGTTAAAATGTATTTATATCTTGCAATTAATCAAGTGCATAGTCGACTATCTTTACTAAATTGATATCAATGAATTTTTACAAATAAGAATTTTGAGTGAAACTGATTCCTGAAAGTTTGAGAATACAGTCCTACTCTCTTTCTTTTTGAAAGTATACAACTCTCGATAGTAAACTACAAGGTTAAAAACATTTCATATATAATTGAATTGAATGTCTAAGTCTGACATCTAATTATCATATTTAATTTGTCCTCTAGACTACAACTTCACTTTCTTTAATAGCGAGTTAGATGAGTTCATAGAGTTAGAAAGTACAGAGGATGGCTTCCTCAATTGCCTAACCTCACAAGGTGATTGAACTCTCTTATGGGTCTATATATGTCAACTGAATCATTTGGTTCAACATTCTTATGATTTGTTTTACGTTCTCTTGCAAGTTGGTGTAAATAGGTTGACATCCTCCTATGAACATTGATCTTTTCTACCTTATCAAAAAAAAAAATGAATATTGATCTTTCCCGGAGCAATGCGTTATGTGCTGCAATGTTGAAGAACCGATTTGCCGATACCATCATCAAAGGGAAACAAAAATCTCTTCCACTTGATGAGTGTATTTCATATTACATAGTTGAATCAGGATGATAAGTCTAATCTTCAGAAAACCTATAGTACAGTAATTTCCAATGAGCATATCTGATATCACATTGTAAATCTCTCTAGATAGCAAAAAGAAGAAAAACTTACCTTGTCTTTTGCTCTGATCGTCTCTTGCCGGGCTTTTTCTTCTTGAACAGATTTTTCTTTTCTCTTGGTTTCTTCTTGATTTGTAACATTTCTTATTCTCCTTTTTCACTTTGAGATCTGTGTTCGTGATCCCTTCACACAGCAGTTATGTGATCACCAAGTATTTCTACACTATAGTAATAATATTGAAGTCAGATGTATATTCTCAGTAAAATAAAACTGTAAAAATATGTAATGGCTTATCTCTGGGAGTGGAAATTTCATCTCTTACTCTAGGAGCAAAAAATAATTAAAACCCGACGTAATCCACAAACCAAGAAGCACAATTAAATATTTCAAGAAATAATAACCAATCCATTAAACCAAATACATTGATTTTAGACACTGAGAGTTATTTTGACTACATGATTTTGTCCTTGTTCTTTTTAAAATAATTGCATGTTTATCATGATCATTCAAGACTTATCCGTTATTAAATTTTTCTAGTAATTAACGGTTGTCCTCTTTATAAAATTGTTTCTGGTAGAGTGTTTATAGTCTATCATACTATATTTCGCATTTACATCACACTCATTACACCAAAATGCTAACAATCCAAATCCATACTTAACCATTCGTACAAGGCTTTTTTGCCCTCAAAACACCATGTATTTCTTTCGAAGGAATCCAACATGTATGCATAGCTTCTTCAGTCCTCTTTTATAGTAGCCACTGCTCCAGCAGACTAACATCCATGGCTTATTCCAACTGACCATATATACTGAAGAACAACTCCCAAATTTATTAGATGGAGATGATCTGCAAAAATAAGTGATATATAGTTGTTCTCACCTCCTCCATCTGACATAAGACACTGCTGTTCAACATCAGCATTCCTCTTTTCTGCAAATTGTCTTTTAGTCTTTCAGATTACCTTCCCAGCTCACTTATAGATGTTTTCGGTAGTATCATTAAACAATTTAGTTTGTAGCACCAAATTAAATGAAAGTCCATTTGGAATAGTTATGTACTGCTCTAACAATACCTTTATTCATTCATGAACATAAAAGCTAAAAAAAGGAATGAGTAAAACATGCTCCACACGCATGAGAGGAATAATATATTTTTAATCTAATAGGACCGTAAAAAAACCCTGAATATATGGTAAACATGGAGACAAAACATTGGATATCTAATTTCACGTCCTATTTTGAGCTAAACAATAAACTGTTTTCCGGTCACCAAAGGAGAAAGTAAACAAAACTCAAAAAGAATCAATTCAAAATGCAACATGAAAAGAACTGGTAGTCCGATCCAGGGAGGACGTCCTTAGAGTGATTCTTGGATTCGATGAAGAGGAGCTGAGCAATACAACAGAGTGAAGAAGAAGTGAAAGCAACGTGAAGAACAAAATCGAGAAGAAAGTCTATATAGTACCTGAGTTGCAAAAGAAATTAAAAGAGTGCTTAAATTTTTCGTCCATTTAAAGTAAAGGGGTACATCTAAGAATGCATCTTCCGCTTCAATGCCATCAAAATGTACTTAGTATGTCTACTTTTCCTTATTAGTTCAAATAGCCCTAGATTCTCAAGCTCTAATAAACCCGCAACAATAACCGCCTTTATTTTATGCCGTGTCGAAAAGGCTAAGAGCTCTTATTCCGCAGTAATGATTCCTACTTATTCTCGCTTAGTTTAAATAGAATTTGGTCAATAGAAAAAGATAAATTTAGACAAATACACATTGAAAATATCTGCTATTGCTAGATTTTAGGCATTACCAGCAAAGGCAACCTCACAGTTTCAGAGGCTCCGGAAAAAAATTCTATGTTTCGTATGCTCCCATCGTTAAAGAGCACTACATTTATCTTTAAGCAACAATTGAGTTTTTTGTTCTTCATGTTAAAAAGAGTAATGAAGTGATCGATAACTATCGAGTCCTCTTGCACAAGAATGAAAAAAGTACATAGCCGCCCTTACTCAAAATGCAACCAAAGAACGAAATCAAAGAACAATGCATAAGAAATGTAATAGAAAACATGATTGAAGAATTTTTCAAATACCTAGAGAATAAATTTTAATAACATGATACACTTTCACTATTAAAATCCCGTCGCTGCATAAGGGAAACACAAATACCTAGCATATTTGGTTGAGGTCTCGAGGGCCTCGGGTGAGTTTCGGGTGGTTAAACGAACCACTTCAAGTTGTGAAAAGTTGCAGAAATCTGCTGTGTGTGTTGCAGACCGGTTGGCCTCGCGTTTGCGAGTGGGCCCTCACGTTCGCGAAGGGTTAGCATCTGAGGCTGAATATTTGGCCTTCGCGTTCGTGAGGGAGGTCCCGTGTACGCGAAGGTCTGGGGTCATTGAACTACGCGGTCGCGAGAGGTGAGCCGCGTTCGCAAAGGGTTGGAGTCAGGAAGCATCGCATTCGCGAGAGAGCAGACGCATTCGCGAAGAAGGAAAATGTGGTCAACGTCAGGTCGTGCTTCGCGAACGCGAGGCTTTGACCGCGTTCCCGAAGAAGGATTTGAAATGACTAGGCAGAATGTATAAAGGGCCTGTTCCGCGATTTTGAACCTAAGTTCCTCCATTTTTGTGCGTATTTAGAGCTTTTTAGAGAGGATTAAAGAGGGAATCAAGGAGGAACACTTGGAGGTAAGAATTTTGGACTTAATACTCAATCCTAATGTGATTTCTACCTATTTAATAATGGAAATATTGTGGAACATAAACCTGAAAATTAGAAGTTAGGGCTTGGGAATTGGAGACCTAAATCTAGGGATTTGAGGGGCCATTTGTGGTCGGATTTTAAAGTATTTGATATGCATGAACTCGTGGGAAGATGAGGGTTCCATTGATGTTAATTTTGTCGGATTTTGAGACGTGGGCCCGGGGGTTGGTTTTGATTAATTTCGGGATTCGTGTCGTATTTTCATTATTTTTGCATGGGCTTCGTTCCCTTAGCATATTTTGATGTCGTGATTATGATTTTGGTTAGATTCGACGAGAGTTGAGGCCGAGACGAGAGGCAAAGGCATCGTAGGCTAGAGATTGGACCGGATAGAGGTAAGTAATGATTGTAAATGTTGTTCTGAGGGTATGAAACCCCGGAATTCACATCGTTGTGCTATTTTGAGGTGACGCACACGCTAGGTGACGAGCGTAGGGTCGTGCACTGTTGGGTATTGTGACTTAGTCCGTCCCATATGACTGTTTAACTGTGTATTTGATTGAAAATTGCTTACTATTATCATGTTTTGGGCTAAATGCCATATTTGGGCTTCGCACAAGTGTTTTTTTGCTATTCCTCACTATTTTGACTTAGTATTTGTAATCAGTCTTGCTATACTCTATTGTCTTTCACAACTCAGCCATCTTTACTCGTTTTTGGTATTTTACTTATTATTTTGGGCTGAGCATTATGTTTTACTGTTGCCTGAGTGGCTTGTGAGATTCTGACTGATTAAGGCCGAGGCCCTGTGTTGTGAGGATATTATGGGATCGGGCTGCACGCCGCAGCATGTGGTACTGATTGAGATATATGAGAGACCGAGGGCCAGATTTATTATGCGACGAGGTGGCTTGTGATTTATATGAGGCCGAGAGCCTGTTGATTATGCTACGAGATGACTTATTTTTGCGCTTGGGCCGTAAGGGGCCCCTCCCGGAGTCTGTACACCCCCATGTAAATGCAATATGAATTTTCAGCTGGTTAATGTTCCTTACTGACCTCTCTTTATTTGTCTGAGAAATTAAACAATAACAAAGCACCTTCTTTTAAGTGCTTGCTAACTGTTTCATCATGGTCATGTAGGTTGTGGCAGTGAATGATTCATGGAAGAAAGTGACGGTGAAGCTGATTCCAAGAATAGACTTGCAAGCCATTGCCGACAAATTTGTACTCGATTTCAAAAATATTTTATATTTTAGTTAATGTGAATTACTCTGTGAATATCAAGATATGAAGCATAACACCGTACTAGCTGCTTCTCTTCACCTCCCCATCATGAAAAAGAAAAAACGAAATAACAAAACGCTGTGTTAGGGAAGGTGGGAGGGACAGTGCATGTCATGATTTCTGGGTAATTCTGCTTTGAGTTATTTTGACCACAAATTTCTTAAAGTAATGCACATATGCTTGGAGTTGTTAGTCTTGTGTCTTATTGGAGGTTGTGATATGAGTATTTCCTTTACTACACAACGTAGGTCCTTTTAGTTGTTTGCATAGTATTACAATGTTAGACTAAAGCATAATACTTCCTCTTCTCTTTGTTTTGAATGTTTGATCCTATGCCCTATTGGTACTTCTTCTTGATATTGACTAAGCACTTGAAGTATTTAGCTAATTATGCACTTAGCAATCCAGTTTTAACAACTCTTTAGTATATTTACATTTAAATTTAGGATTATATATCTTCCGCAGTCCGCTGCAGTAATGCTGGTTATATCATCTTCGTTGGTTGAAAAAATTGTTGCTTATTATCCTCAATACAATTATAATTATGGCTAGTCTACCTAAAATACATTTATTCAGAGGCTACAGATTTCCTCTTCGCAAGAGTTCAACATCTTATCTTAGAATGGTTAATGAGAGAATGCAAAAATGCAGGGATGTTATAGGGTTGGAATCACTGTCATCAGGGATCTGTTATAATCTCATCTCCACGGTTTATATTTTGAAGGGGAGAGGGCTTCAATTCCTAATGTTTAGTTACGGTTTAAGTTGATCCTAAAACAACTCTATAATTTAGTATTTATAAACTTCTAGCGATACGTACATTCATTATCTGTACATTCATTACATGACTATTCGCATGTTGATGTTTCCATACCTAGTCATTTTTTACTTTGAACTAGCTTAGATAGCTGAGTTTTTATAATGTTTTATAGGGCGGGAGTTATCCCAGCACCAAGACTAATTAGCTCTACAGAGCTTGAGTAATATGCATACTCCATTTGTTACCATTAATATCATAGGTTGCAAGTACGTGACAATTTTGCCTTAGTTAAACTGCAGAGACTTTAGGTCTCTGATACAGTACCGAAAGGATAGGGATACAAACTTAATGTTTAAAATTCTCGACGGAAAGATGCTGAAGGATGGTTATTTGTACAAAAATGTGGGCACTAATTCATTGAGCTATTAGGGTGTAATGCCTACTGAAGCTGAACTCCTGAAGTTTGAACATTCTAAAAGTGATGGACCCGATGATGTAAGTGTCTTACCCAGCTTTACGGTGACCGGAAGAAAAAGAAAATCACAAATGATTTCAAGGTTGGTCAGAAAGGAGGTGAGAAAGGAGAGGGTTCTTCAAGCTCTAGCATGGAAAACAATTTTGAAGTAAATGATTTTGTGTTTTTTGGGTAGGTTTGTCTCTTACTGTTTACCAATGCGGAAACGGCACACTATATTTGTCAATTTTGTTTAATCATTTTTCTATACTATTACAATAGGAACGATTTTGGGATTATTATTGGCAAGGAGAAAGATGATAGCTTTAAGGTATATGCAAGTCTATTGGCTGTATTTTTCTTTGTGTGAATGATGTCTTATTTAAAGCGTTTATTTCTCAGATCATGAAAGATGGTTTAGAGAGACCTGTGGTAGTGAGTGTTCAACTGCATGTGTTGAAGCGTGCATCTTTTGATAGGAAGCTATTCAATGTGAAAGATCAGCTAACCAATACCATCTCAGTTGGTGATATGGTTAGAGGTTTGGATGGTCCTTGAAGGTTTATACTATTATTCATCTTTTATTTTTATTTGTTTGATCATGATAGTATCTGAGTCAGCTTGTACATACCTTGGCTAATCCACCGATGACTTGCTATTTCCTTCCACTGCCCACCAAAGGTTAGGTAGGTGTGAATAATTCACTAGTGCTTCTGTTGGCATTTGACAAGAGGGGTTGCTCTGATGGTAAGCAACCTCCACTTCCAACCAAGAGGTAGTGAGTTCGAGTCTCCCCAAGAGTAAGGTGGGAAGTTCTTGGAGGGAAGGATGCCGAAGGTCTATTTGGAAACAGCCTCTCCACCCCCAGGGTACGGGGTAAGGTGTGCGTACACACTAGTCACCCCTTGGAACGTTTTGACTGTTANTTTTGTACAACTCAATGCAAATGACTAGAAGATATGATGTATGCAATGAGAACCAAGAACAACCAATATTGAATTTTAGAGAATGATTTAAAGTTGTTTAGATTTATTCAAATCAGATTTAGATGTACCACGCTAGTAAGCTACTATAAGAAGCAGCTATTGATGTAAGATAAAAGATATGGCAGTTCCCCCTTAGGTTATGTGACTAAGTGATTAACGCGGATGTTTATAGTATGATATGATTTAGTATTGTACAGAAAGTTTGGGGTTAGATATTCCAATTTCATTTAAGGCACATGAATTCCCTAAGTATGATCCTTGTACATAGTTCAAAAAGAATGATAGTGTGCGGCAAAAGAATATGGTCAGATGATGAGGGAAGTTAGAATAACCTTATTCCTCACTTTAGTTATCCAAAGTAGAAAAAGGAAACGTGATTCTAGTAGGTGTTCAGTAAAAGAATAATAAGTAAGTTTTGAGTTGATACAATGAATTAGCAATTTCAGCAGAGCTAGTAGAGGTACAATTTGATCCACTTAGCCAGACTAACTATAGTGAGTGGATGACAACTTGAAATACCGAACGCATGTCAGAACCCAAAGAGTTTAAGCTAAACCCGAAGTACAGTGGCAGTGAGAAAAAATATCAGCTAGCAATGAGAGAGCTAACTATAAAAGAATAGCCTTTAGGAATTATCGAAATGTAGTTTCTCCATGATTGATAGTGTGAGCAGAGTTAAATTATTAAGAGTGTGTATGATAGTTGTGAATACATTAGCTTTCCGNAAAGGAAGGAAGCCCAACTTGAATTATTTTAAAGTGTGGGGGTGTTTGACAAAAGTGCAAGTTCCTAAATCCAAAAGGGTAAAAATAGGACCGAAAACCGTTGATTGTGTTTTCATAGGATATGCGACTAATAGTAAAGCATATCGATTTCTGGTTCATAAAACAGAAAATCCCGACATTCATAATAATACGGTTATAGAATCAGATAATGCTGAGTTCTTTAAAAATATATATCCGTATAAAAAGGAATGTGAGTTGATTGGTGAAGGATCTAAACGACCTCGGGAAGAAACAAAAGAAAGTACACTTAACCAGGAGGATCCAAGACGTAGTAAACGTCAAAGAACGTCTACTTCATTTGGACCAGATTTTGTGACTTTCTTATTGGAAAATGAGCCTTAAACATTTAAAGAAGCTATGTCTTCTTCGGAATCATTGTTTTGGAAAGAGGCAGTCAATAGTGAAATAGAATCCATACTGAATAACCATACATGGGAATTGGTTGATCTTCCTCCTGGAAATAAACCGTTGGTTCTAAATGGATCTTTAAGAGGAAAATGAAAGATGATGACACTATTGATAAATTTAATGCAAGACTTGTGGTCAAAGGGTATAGACAACGAGAAGGTCTTGACTATTTCGATACATACTCTCCAGTTACAAGAATTACATCCATACGAACGTTAGTAGCGTTAGTTGCAGTTTATGGTCTTGAAATTCATCAAATGGATGTTAAGACGGCCTTCTTAAATGGAGAGTTGGAGGAAGAAATTTACACGGAACAACCTGAAGGGTTTGTGGTTCCAGGTAAAGAAAAGAAGGTATGTATACTTGTTAAGTCCCTTTACGGACTAAAACAAGCACCCAAACAATGGCATGCGAAATTTGACCAAACAATGTTGTCAAATGGTTTTAAAATAAATGAATGTGGTAAATGTGTGTACATTAAAAATGTTCCAAATCACATAGACATTGTTTGCTTATATGTGGATGATATGGTGATAATGAGTAATGACATTGCCAACATAAATGCGACTAAGCGCATGCTAACTGGCAAGTTTGATATGAAAGACTTGGGAGTTGCTGATTTAATTCTGGGAATTAATATCCATAAGACTTCTCAGGGTCTGGCGTCACAATCTCATTATATTAAGACAGTACTTGAAAAATTCAAGCACTTGGACTTTAAAGTTGCAAAAACTCCAATTGACGTGAATCTTGCATTAGCAAAGAACAAAGGCCAAAGCATATCACAATTGGATTATGCTCGTGTGTTGGGTTGCTTAATGTACATCATGAATTGTACACAACCATATATAGCTTGTGCTATAAGTAATTGAGTCGATATACGAGCAATCCAGGTCAATCTCGTTGGATGGCCATGAAAAGAGTTTTGGGGTATTTAGTACATACCCAAGACTTTGCTTTGCACTACAGTAAATATCCTGCGGTCATTGAGGGATACTGTGATGCAAATTGGATCACCGGATCAACTGATTCCAAGTCCACAAGTGGATATGTATTCACTATTGGTGGAGGAGCGGTATCTTGGAAGTCGTCCAAACAAACTTGTATTGCCCGCTCTACAATGGAGGCTGAATTCATAGCTTTAGATAAAGCCGGTGAAGAAGCTGAATGGCTCCGTAATTTCTTGGAAGATATTCCATTTTGGCCCAAACCGTTGGCACCAATATGCATACATTGCGATAGTCAAGCGGCAATTGGAAGGGCTGGGAGCGTTATGTATAACGGTAAATCTCGTCATATACGACGAAGACATAAAACCGTTAGGTAATTACTCTTTATAGGAATTATCACGATTGATTATGTAAAGTCAAGTGATAATGTGTCGGATCCACTTACAAAAGGCCTAACTAGAGAGGTAGTTGAGAAATCATCAAGGGGAATGGGACTATGGCCGAGAACAAGTCATAGTGGCGGTAACTCTACCTAGAAGACTGGAGATCCCAAGATCTAGGTTCAAGGAGATCAAACAAAGTCATTAATGACGGTTCAACATTGTCAACTAAACTTTTGGTCCATTTTCGTGATGAGACAATGTTCAGTACCAAGGATAAAGCATTAAGGCTTTTTAATGATTTCTAAATTTGATACGGGGTATATCAAATAGTGTATCTACGGGATGATACGTTTAGGAATCACCTATGTAAGTGTGAAGTGTTAGCCGCTTCAAGGAGAATTATGGAAGGCCAGTTCTCTACACACTTATGAAACCAGGCGGTGTTCATGGCTGAAACGAACACAACAATGAGAACCAAAGACGGTTAAGGGTTGGTTGTGTGACTTGTGGTTGTCTAGGTATACACTAAAGTTTGACGGTTCAAAGATATCAAATCTACCGATTGATCGAGTATATCCGACATAAGTTCACTACGGGAAGTTCAAAGGGAAACCTACTTATCCAGATGCAATTAATCCTTGCTCGCGAACCACACAGTTTTTCATGCATGTTTCCGTGATATAGCCATTCCCCATTCGTGTGGGGGATTGTTGGGTTTTATGTATTTAATTATATTAAATACTTAAAAGAGGGTGAATGGAAAATGGAGGGAAACAAAATTTTTGAGTGAAATTTTAAGTTTCCCCCTTGGCAAAGGGACATTGTCCCATATTGGAAGAGGAAAAGGTTTTTGATGGGTATATAAGCAATTGCTCTTCTTCTAGCTCATAAAGAGTTGAGAAGAAGGCAAGCCACGCGCCGTCGTCGCTCGCTTGCTCGGCTCGGCTCGGCTTCGGCTTCGGATTTGGATTTGGATTTGGATTTGGTCAAATGATCGATCGATTGATTAATTTTTGGACCAAATTTATTTGTTAATAGTAAAATATTAACAGAAATGTTATTAAATATTTGTTTTAATAACAGAATATTGATATTAAAATAAATATTAATATTAAATCCCCAATTCAGTTATCCAAATTTCAGTTTTCTGTTTTTGTAACAGAAAATTAACTACCCTTCAATTTTCCCTCTTTATTTTCCCTCTTTATTGTTGAGTAAATAGCCATTTATGTTATGGCATTTATGTTGTGGCCGTTTTGCATAAACAGCCATTCTGAAGAGTTGCACCTCTTCAGATTCCAGCCCAACTTTGGCTATAAATACAAGGCTATTCTGCTAAGAATTTCCATAAGATTTTTCTGAGTTTCTCCTCCTTCTTCTGCATACTTTTAATATCAAACAAAGCAATAGTAAGTGTGATTTGCTACCGAACTTCGTGTTCACTGAAACACTAGGGTTTGAAGTACCACTACACCAGTGTGTAATTAGTTCTATCCCGGGAGGAAATAATTCATAACCTTGGATACTAGGAGGGGATTAAATTCCTTAAGGAAACACTGTGAAATCAGTGGGCTCGAATTGATTTCTATCTCTTTACGTTTTCTGTCTATATATTATTCTGCTTTGTTTTTTCCAGAATTAGTTTACAAATACAGTTGACTAACAGGTTTGTGGTAAAACTGGAAACATATCATTACTTTACCAGATCTAAGGGGAAGGTAGCGATGGCTAACAATGATGAAATCGAGTTGGTATATCATATATGGTTCAGTGAGAATTGCTCGACAGATTTCTTTTTCTGTACATATATAAATGTAGGTCTGATATTTTTCTATAGTGAAAGCAGTAAGTTGAAAGTTACTAAATTACTTTATAAATATCATAATAATGTTGAATCATCCCCTTTTATTGAACAAAATTAGATTCAAGTCTTGAGTCAGAAGTAATTCTGCCAAATTTCTCACTTTCAATATTTAAAATAATATGCGTATTAGCTATGAAGCCTCAACTACGGATGCGAAAATTGTGGCTAATATCTAACTATAGCCACAAATAGAAACTTTGTGGCTATATACAATATATTAACCACAAACATTAAAAGAGGGCAAAGCTCGAGCATGAGTAATTATTTCTTTGGTCGTGCTTCTAAAATCAATTTTTTTTTTTGAAAAGTGCTTTTAAAAAAAATATTTTTGGTGAGAAGTTGTTTATTTAAAAAATATTTTTGACAGCAATTAGTGTATGATCGAATTTTTAAAAAGTACTTTTAATAAGCGTATTTTTCCCAAAGTTTTTTTTCAAAAAGCTGCTTATGGAGAGAGCTACTTTTTTTTCTTTTAAAATTCTTTTGGCCAAAAAACACAAAGAAGCACGTCCAAATAGGCTATAATACATGATTTCACTTTTTCCTGTTTCACTTTTATCTTCGGAACAAATAAAAAATAACAGTTTGGTGCAGTAAGCTCCAACTATGCACGGGATCCGGGGAAGTATTGGACCACAAAGGTCTATTGTATTGTACGTAGCTTTACACTGTATTTCTGCAAGAGGCTGTTTTCACAACTTGAAGTGATTACCTTGTGGTCGCATAACAACAACTTTATCAATTACCAACTCCATCACTCTGGAACAAAATAGAAGTTTCTATAACTAAAATTTCGTTTAACCTCACATTTATACACTCGATGGAATAAAACGTGAAAAGGAAACGAGAAACCATGTTTTCTAGATGCTTCTAACCTTACTTAAATACTCCATCAACTACTCCCCTGAACCCGTTGCATTTCCAATTTAATAAAAACCCAAGTTAATATCATTTCTGCTGCTTTGAAGCGTCTGCTCAAATTTTGAAGGTTGATCTTAAGCAAACAAATTATAATCCAAGCTCAATCAGGTAAATCCCTTTTTCTTTTACACGAATTATTATTTCTCCTCTTTCAATTTTGTTGCGTTGGGTGTAATTCGATGATGATTTTTTTCTAAAATTCCTATTTTTTTTTGGTTTTTGGTTTGGTGCCAGGATCTTGTCTAGAGCTATTTATCCATTTAGTTTGTTTGGCTGTTGGAGAATTCGGAATGTCTCATATCCTTCTGATATGTTTCTTTTCTCTGATTTTCTTCATGCTAATCTTCATCGTTTTTTTTTTCTTTCCCTTTTCATAAACAAGTTTTTTTCTTTTTTCATTTGTTTGGTTGCCTATAATTTGTGTGTGTGTGTGGGGGGGGGGGGGGGGTGTTCAAAAAAGTAGAGATTTTTTGTAGTGCAATCTCTCATATTATCTATTCACCCATTTTTTCATATTGTTTGCCTAGAATTGGGTAAGAGTGTGAAGATAGAACTTTTTCTGGGGCAAGCTCTTATTTTTTCTGTTGGTGCTTATTCATGTGCAAGCGCATTTAGACCTCATTTCTTTTCTTAAGATTTAAGATTAAGACGTGTGAATATTCATATCTTATCTGAATACACATTTGAATGTTATGATGTGTATTAAGATCTGAATATTAAATGATTAAGACTGTTTGATTTTTAACATCTGAATGTATAAAATTTATCTTTATTTGAAAATTAATAAACATAAAATTCAAATAAAATACTAATTAATTTGATATTCCATCAATAAAATATTTAGGTTTTTTAAATATGATAGTTGTGGGTGGTGATGGCTAACGGTAGTGCTTGTGAATGCCGACTAAAAGTGGTGGTTGGTGGTAGATTTGGTTGATGGTTGTAGTTTAGGGTAGTAGCTAGTGGTGATTGGTAGTGGTAGCAATTATGATTGAGAATGGTGTTGGTGGGTGTTGATAGATAATAATGGCGGGTGGTGGCGGTGGTAGTTGTGATTGAGAAAGATGGTGGTGGGTGGTGATAGTTTATAATGATGGGTAGTGTCAGCTATGGTTGTTGATGGTGATGGGATGGTTAGTTGTGGCAGTTGAGGTGGATGAGTATTGATTGTCGTTGAGAATGATCGTGGTGGGAGTGGTGGGTGATGATAGTCGATAATGGTGGCGGCTATGATTGAGATGATGTTGGTGGTGGGTGGCATGGTATAATGATAGGGGCAACTAATAATAATATGGATGATAGCATTGTAATGAAATTAAGTCTCTGTTATAGATCTTAATCATACAGACCTATTCTGACACCCATTAAGTGGTTGTGAAGTAAAAAAAATGAACACACTTAACGATTAAGATCTGAATAATTAAGATTAGACTTTTTTTTTAAAACAAACAAACTTAATGTTTGAGATCTGAATGATTAAGGTTCAGACCTCCATTAAGTGCAAACAAACGAGACCTTAGTCCTTTGGTTGGTTGCCTAGAAATTGGGGGAAGGATCTAAAAGTAGAGCCCCTTCTTAAGTGTAATCTCTCGTACTATTAATTAACCATTCTTTCATATTCTTAGTTCTTTCACGAACATGATTCTTTTGACATTCTTGCATATTTTTGTCAAATAATAAACAAGACATTTAAGAGGCGAATGGATCCTATATTAAGTGAGTTCAAGTGAATAACTATTTTTAACAGGGAACATATATGTTGAAAAGTTACTAAAATATCAATGAGTATTAAATTTTGAATCCTTAATTTAAAAAAAATAATGAATTCTATGCTAAGAATTTTAAAGGTTGGATTCATCAAGTTTAAATTTTTATTCTCCATAAGCTCGTGATCTTACCTCCAGCTATGGGGTCCAAAGATCAGTTTTTCTTCTTCTTTTTGTTAGATGTTTCCTTACTTTAATTCGATCCCTACCTGTTTTGACCATAACTAAAGCTAACGCGGGAACCAGAGAGATGGAGATCGTGAAAGGGCTCAAGCCAGGGCAAATCACAAGACCAAGCAGCCTAAGAATGATGGATTAACTCCTGAACAAAGACGAGAAAGGTTCCTCCTTCGCCAATTTTCTCCAAAATAAGTCTCGTGTTTTAGGGCGATTAGTTCGTGTTCCTAACATGGATGTTGTGTTTAATATCTCAACAGGGATGCAAAGGCACTTCAAGAAAAGGCGGCAAGGAAAGCAGCACAGGCAGCAGGTGGAGGTAATTTCGAGAAATCGGAAAGTTATAAGATCAAGAAGAAATTGTAGGGAGGTTGTTTAAGTAGATTAGGTGAAGGGAATTAATCTTGTGGGTGAATCTGGCATTGGTTATGGATTCTTGAGGTCATTGTTTATCATGTCATTTCAAGTGTCTGAAACTTTTTATTCTCAGTAGTTCTTGTCTGGCATGTATGTTTGGCTTTTGGAACTTTAACTTGTCTGATCTTCAATGAAAATTCCTGTTGTGATTAATCTTACTGGTTTCTCTCTCTTTTTTTTATTTTGGAATATAATCAGATGTAAAATGGTAGTTATGTGTTGTCATTTTGTCACCATCTTATGCCTATTTTGTGATCTAAATTTCTGAGATTAGTCATGCTGCTTTGCTTGGATGTGTTTGAAAGCTTGAATCTTTTGCTTCTGCGTTGCCAGTTCACTTGAGGGCAAGTGCAAATATAGCCATTCTCAAAAATGCTATTTAGAGATTAGCTAGTACGTATTTGTTTTTGAAATTCTAAACTAAAACTCTTAACTTTAGGACAATTCAGGAAATTTTTGTCCTGAAAATTGAATTAAAAAATTGAAGTTCAAGACGCAATGACTAATTTTTAAATAATAGTCCCTTAAAGTGGTTACCTGATGTCATTTCTACTTCACTTGACTAACACCCTCATGTTCTGATATAAGTGGTAATTTTTTTTTGTGCCTTTCGTTCTCTGTGACGACCCGACCTGTCGTCTCATGAGTTACCGCTCTGTCCCCCATTTTATGCTTCTTCATGTTTCATTATCGGTATTTGGTGTGTTAGAGTTGATTTGGATTGGTTTTGGTAGGAAATGAGACACTTAATCTCTTTACGGAAGGTTTGGTTTGGAAAAGTCAACCGGATGTTGACTTATGAGTTAGAGGGCTCGGATGTGATTTCCGGTGTTTCGGTTAGATTCGGGGGATGATTTGTGACTTAGGAGTGTGACCGGAATTGAATTTGGAGGTCCGGTGTAGAATTAGGCTTGAATTGGCGAATTTAGTATTTTGGCGGATTCCGGTTGATAGGTGAGATTTTCATCCGAGGGTCGGAATGAAATTTCGAGAGTTGCAGTAGCTTCGTTAGGTGATTTGGGATGTGTGTGCAAAATTTTAGATGATTCGGAGGTGGTTTGGTTGGGTTTTTGATCTAATGCGAGTTTCGGAAGAATTTGAAGAACTTAGGCTTGGATTTGATGAAATTTGATGGTTTTAGTGTTAATCGTGGTGTTTTGATGATTGGAGCAAGTTTGAATAAGGTATTGGATCATGTTTGTGTTTTTGGTTGAGGTCCCGGGGGCCTCGGGGTGAGTTCGGATGGTTAAACGGAGAGTTTTAGAATTTTTGCATGGTAAAGGGCTGCTGATATCTGGTATCTTCGCACCTGCGGTTATGGGATCGCAGGTGCGGTCACACAGAAGCGGGCGAGAAGGTCGCAGAAGCGGAAATGGACTCAGGGCAGGTTCCGCAGAAGCGGAAGTGAGGACCGCAGAAGCGGTTCCGCTGGTGCGGAATTGGAGCCGCAGAAGCGGCCGGGGATTTTAAAGAGGAAACCGCAGAAGCGGAGTAGTGCCCGCAGAAGCGGTCCCGCATCAGCAGAAATGGGACCGCAGATGCGAGATGACTGGCCAGAGTATTAAATTAGTCTTCTTCGCGAATTTTTGAAAGAGTAACATATTGCACTTCGGACTTGGAGAGTTTTTGGGCGATTTTGAAGAGGGTTTCGAGAGCTTTGATCAGGTATGAATTCTTGGACTTAGAACATGATTTTATGGTGTAAATACATGGATTAGAACTGAAAACTCAAGGAATTAAAGGTCAAAAATGGTGGTTTAGGGCTTGAACCTAAGAGAGCTTAAATTAGGAATTTGAGGGGTCAAATGAACCCCGATTCTGGTAATTTTGATATGTATAGACTCGTGAGAAGATGAGGAATCCATTGATGTTAAATTTTTTGATTTCCGAGAAGTGGGCCCGGGGCTCGGGTTTTGCTAATTTCGAGATTTTTGCTATTTTTGGATTGTTTTTGATTGGGTATTGTCCCATTGGCATATTGTGATGTATTCGCTATGATGTTGGATAGATTCGACGCGCGTGGAGGCCGGTTTGAGGGGCAAAGGCGTCGCGAGCTAGAGATTTCACCGATTCGAGGTGAGTAATGATTGTAAATGATATCCTGAGGGTTTGAAACCTCGGATTTGCACACCGTAGTGCTATATTGAGGTGACTTGCACATCGGATAGCGAGCGTGGGGTAGAGCACCGTTGGGGATTGTGACTTGGTCCGTCCCGATTGTTTATTTTACCGCGTATTTGACTGAAACTTATTTGATATTATCATGATTTGGGCTGATTGCCATATTTGGGCTTCGTGCCAATTATTTGAACCCTTCGAGGATTTTATCACTGTTTCCTCACTATTTGACATACTACTTGAACTCAGTCCTGTTGATTATACTGATTTACAAACTCAGCCGTTTTAATTGAACTTTGAGACTTAAATGATATTTTCCACTGTTATTTCGGCTGAGCACTACTATTTGTGTTGATGCCCGAGGGGCTTAGGATATTTTCTGGACTGAGTGAGACTGAGGGCCATATGTGAGGATATGTTGAGTGATGTGAGGAGGCTTTCAGGCCTCGAGTGTATTGTGAGGAGGCTTTCAGGCCTCGAGTGTATGGTGAGGAGGCTTTTAGGCCTCGAGTGTGATGTGAGAAGGCTTTCAGGCCTTGTTTTATATGCCACGAGGTGGCTTGATATTGCACTTGGGCCGCAAGGAGGAGTCCGAAACTTTTTTGATGTTTTTTTAGACAAAAAGCACATTTTTAATGCTAAAAAAAATAAAGTTACATAACTAGGTAATTTGTAGTACAATACTGCGAATTACTTTGACGGAAATTTAACCGTTGAAGTAATTCGCAGTACAATACTGCGAATTATTTTTTAAAAAAAATTACCTAATTCGCAGTATAATACTGCGAATTAGGCTTGCCCGTATCTTTGAATTTGTAAAACCATTAGTGTCGTTGACTTTTGTCAACCGATTTTGTCTTTCTCTTTGTCTTTTATTCTTAAATACTTTGTTAGTAATTTATTTTAATTATTAATCAATGTACTTTTCAAATATTATAAAAAAAATATTGGAAATTTGGACTTAATTTGGATTAAAATTTCAAAAACACATATAACGTGTATTCTCATTCAATAATAGAAGGAATTAGAAATTCAAATTCATTTAGTTCTCTAATGTCATATCCATTAGCTCTGGTTATGTTATGCTAATAAGAAAGGATGAAATAACAATTTTAAAATATTAATTGTATAAGTATAATTTTATTTAACGTTTATTTTTCACTAATTGTAATGCCAATATTAATTGTTCGAGCTTTCTGCTGTCTCCGTTAATAGTAAATATAGATTCATATAGATTAGTTGAAAGTTAAATACTTTTCCACTAAAAGTAGGAAGCTCGAACTATTAGCATAAAAACATAACCAGAGCTAATGGATATGACATTAGAGAACTAAATGAATTTGAATTTCTAATTCCTTCTATTATTGAATGAGAATACACGTTATATGTGTTTTTGAAATTTTAATCCAAATTAAGTCCAAATTTCCAATATTTTTTTGTATAATATTTGAAAAGCACATTGATTAATATTAAAANAATACTAGACAAAGTATTTAAGAATAAAAGACAAAGAGAAAGACAAAATCGGTTGACAAAAGTCAACGACACTAATGGTTTTACAAATTCAAAGATACAGGCAAGCCTAATTCGCAGTATTATACTGCGAATTAGGTAATTTTTTTTTTAAATAATTCGCAGTATTGTACTGCGAATTACTTCAACGGCTAAATTTCCGTTAAAGTAATTCGCAGTATTGTACTGCGAATTGTTTTTTGTCTATAAGCATCAAAAAAGTTTCGGACTCTAAATGAGCCCCTCCCGGAGTCTGCACACCCTCAGTGAGCGCCGTCGACGATAAATAAATGGAGCGGGCTGCACGCCGCAGCGAGATGTGGATCGGGCTGCACGCCGCAGCGAGATGTGGATCGGGCTGCACGCCGCAGCGGTTACTATATGATACTGTTCTGAGAGTATTTCTGAGAGTGAGCCCGAGGGGCTGGTACAGTTTGAGATATTGCCCGAGGGGCGAACTTTTATGTGCTCGTCTTACATACTTATTGCCTTTTTACCTGTTATACTGTGGTACTTATGCCCGAGGGGCGGATTTTCTGTGCTTATCAGCACTAACTGTTTTGAAATCGTTTTCGTAATATTGAAAGGATCATTTTCAAAAGAGATTTGAACTGAGTCATGGTATTTCTAAAGATTTCACAGATTTCTCTGTTTTTCTCAGAAAATTGTACCCGGCTTCTAACAGCATGTTGGTTGCTTTACGTGATTTCTTGCTGCTCAGTTATTATTTACTTTTATTACTCACTGAGTTGGAGTACTCACTTTACTCCCTGCACCTCGCGTGCAGATGCAGGTATTTGTTCACCCGGCAGCGAGTTTGAGCTGGTTGAAGATTTTGCTATCGTAGCTGAGTAAGGTGACCGCCAGCGTTCGCGGCACCGGATTTTCTTTTCCTTTGATTCTAAATTCTATTCTGTCTATTACTGGCTTTGTAATTGTATTTAGACTCCGCTAGATGCTCGTGACTTGTGACACCCCGGTTTGGGCCGTGTCGGGATGGTTCTACCATTATTATCTAATTATTAAATCATGCTTCATAATTGCTTAATAGTGATCAACTGCTTAAAAGAGTGGTTCTGTATTGGTCTGGCTGGCCTTGTCTTCACGAGAGGCGACATCACGACCGGATTCCGAAATTGGATCGTGACACTCTCCCTCGTGTAAGTAGCAAAAGTGAAGTAATCCAACTATTTAAAGGTGAAGGAAATAATTGCAGTTGTTTTGAGTATGTGCAGCGCTAATTGGTACAGTACATGTGTGTTGTCTATAAATATTGCAATTAACTCACATTACTTTTCAAGAGTTAGAGATGATAACAACTACAGTTAAGTTTAATTTTCTTAATATTAGACACAAGCTTTTGCGAGAAGATACATGCAGGAGGTCGTAGTGGCAAAGCCAGAAAATTTTCCAAGAGTATTAAGACTTGAAAAAAGTAAAAAAAAATTCTGACAGAGGGTGTTTGATATATGTCATATATATATATATACACGTTGCGCGTGTATTCTATACTAATAAATATAAAATTTTGAAAAATCGC